TCCCAGAGCTGCCTCCTCCAAACCTCCCCCCAGGGCTCAGGCTGTGCAGCCTGCCCGGTCTCCTTGCAAAGTCCCCACCGGTCTGTAAAGCCACCGCCACAGCAGTGACACTGAGACCACAGCATCTCAGTGCATGATTAGAATTTCAGCAGGGGGACCTGGGATCATCCCAAACCATGTGGCTGTGGCAGCTGTGGGAAGGCTTCTTTTCTTGTCTCAGCTAGCAGGTCCCCTGCAGCAGCAACTGGCATGGGATACCCTCCAGGAAGAGAGGAGAGGAGAGGAAGAAATGGTCTTGGGAGTGGAGAAAAAGGACTTAGATTCTGGGGTGGTGATTTGTCTGGGGCAGGACTGGGCCTGGGGATCCCTCTACTTTGGGGATGTTCAGCTTCAGAGTTAAAGATGGGTGATGCCCATCTACGACCCAAAGAATGGGCTGGATGTGGACGTTCCCTACCCTGGCTTCTTCTTTTGCCTGATATCTGCATGGCTGATGGAGGTAGGTAGTGGGAAGAGCAGCCATCTGGGTGGAGATACACCGTGGGTGTGTGAGTGGAAGAAGAAAACATATGGAAAGGGAGGATTTCTCTCCAAAGTTGCTCAATGACAAAAAGCCAGGGGAAAGCTTGTAGGGACCTTTCCTTCCACCTGTACAAGACAAACCGCCCTGTACAAGGCTCCTCATGGGCTGGGGGGACACGAGGTAGCCCAGACATTTGGCTGCAGCTCAGCGGCTGGTGGTGGCCAGGGCTCTCCCATCCCACCTCCCGGCAGCGCTGTTTGCCATCTGTTATTTAAGCATTCATCTTGTTTAAGCACCACTTTAGCGCTGCGGGCCTAGAGATATCTTGTAGAAAAGAAACAAGAGCCTTCCTCCTCCCCTCCCTCACTTTCCCCCAGGCCTATATTACACCAAATAAACACTCACTTTGGGTAATAGTTAACTTTAATGGCTCAGTCCTGGCTTCAGCTGCATGATAGGGCACCACAGGGAGACTCGAGGGGTTGATAGTCCTCAGGATAAAGGAGATAAGGTCTGGGTTTGAAGGGCAGCACTCGCGGCAGCTGTCACGGCAAGCATGGACGTTCCCACAGGGGTGGGAGCAGCCACTGGCACATGCACCTCTCCGTCACCCACCCCAAAATTTAGCCTGCCTTGGCATTCCCTTCCCAGCCTTTGTGTTTTCCAGATGGTGAGGGCTGACAGCACCACTACCGGAGCTGGTCCCCCTCTCTCCCACTGCCAGGCACCATCCCAGCCCTGGGGTCCCATCCGAGGCTTTGCCCACACCCACCAATAGCCACATCTCTGGCCCACACCACACTCCTTTGCTGAGCTGCAGAGATACCTGAATAACCCGCCCGGCAGCTCTTTCTCTCTTAATTGTGCTTTCCCGAGTCAATGGATAACTTTACAGCCCAGGCCATGAAAACATCAAACAGAATAACCCTGGGGAGACAACTATCTGCCAGTGGGGAGATGTACTGGGTTAATCACTTGGAGGGAAAGGGACAATTAAGTTCAAAAATAAATCCATTCTGAAAGTCACTGCCATGTCCAGCAGGCGCCTGTGGGCAGAGGTCATCACTGGGCTCGCTGCAATGCCAGCGCCGCTCGGCCAGGCTGGGGATGCAGAGTGGGCACCCATGGCATCTTCTCCAGATCCCAGGGGAAGGTGGGTTAGGTTTTCTCCCATCCCATTCCACCAGACCTTGCGCACAGAGTGCTGCTGTGCAGGCACTTCACTGTCCTGGAGCAGTGGGACCTTCCTGCCTTCCCCTCCAAAATCACCCCAGGGCAGCTGAAGGAGACCAAAGCCTTGTTGAGCCTCCCCCACTGACCTGCCCATGTCCACCAAGCCCACCAGACCCTCCTGCCAGGGTGACTCCCATTGCTTTCCAGGTGCTAGTCACAGCATGGTGGCATCAGCATTGCTTCCTCCTGGATGCCAAGCAAAAAAGCCAAGAGGACCCAGTTGGTGCCTTCGCCTCCTGGCCATGCCATGGGAGATCATGTGGCAGAACCCCCTCCTCCAGGCTTTCGCCTCTGGTTTTTACCCCCCGTTTCCACCTCTTCCTTCCTTCCCTGTCCTTGACCAGCCACACTCTTAGCATTCCTGCAGCTTTAACAGCCCCGTAACTGTGCACGAACCACGGTTTTACAGCAGTGTTGCTTCATCGCTGGAGCACAAACAAGGCAAAGATGGTACCGGCAGCTGGGGGGACAGTGCAGGCAGTGAAAGTAGGAAAGGAAGGGTCCTCTCGCTGGCTGGGTCTGAAGGGTGAAGGGCTTTCAGCAGAATGAGGTCCTGCTCTGTTGAGGAGCCTCTGGGGTATGAGCCTGAACTTCTAGCTCTACTTTGAACCACATCCCAGATTTGCCTTTGTTTGGAGAAAGAGGATTTTTTTTTTTATTGCAGCCTTCTCCTCTGTTTCAAGGAGAAAGCTGACCCAAAGGGACCTGAGCAGGGGCTTGCATCTCTCCCTTGGGGATGCCCAACACAGAACAGCTCCCCAGCACCCGAAGGGACTGTGTCCTCCCAGGACATCCCAGCCCGACTTGAAGAAGGACTCTCCACCCCTGGGTCAGCAGCTGACCCTTAGACCAGAGCAGGGCCTTCTCAGGTCCGTGATGCCATATGGGTGAAGCAGAGCATCACCACACCAGGGCGAAGGACCAGGGTTGGGGCCCTGGGCAGGGAAAGGGCCAGGGTGGGAAACCAGGGACTACACAGCCCTGTGCTCCAACAGAGACAGTCCGTGGCCACCTTGGTGCCTGCCTGCTGCCCTCAGCCCTACCGACATGATCCAGTCCCTCAAAACTAGGGATGGTACAAATCACTTTTGGCAATGGAGGTGGAGAAGAGTGAGCAGAGACAGCTATGGGTGGATTTGACAGGCTATTTTCTAAAAAGGATGGTTTGGAAAACTGACTGGGGATTTTCTGGAGGGGCATTTTAACTTTAGTGACCCAAAAGGTGAGCCCCTCTCACCACCTCCTGAGTTGTGCCCCCCCCCCATCTGTGGCCCATGGCTATGACAAGCTTTTCTGGAGCACAAGGGTCTCCATCCCATGTGGCAGCAGTGCCACAGGGGAGAAGAAGCCATGGCAGCCCCAGCCACACTCTCCTCTGATGCCCTCTTTTTCCTGCTGCAGCCAAGGAAGGACACTTCAGTTTCACATGCAATAAAATAGCCACTCTCTGGACTTTCCTGATGTCATGGCAGATCTTCCCCATTATTCACTACTTTGGTGATCTTGCCAGGAGCAGATTGGTTGTGCAGCCAGGGAAAAGTCCATATCACAGCAGCATGCCAAAGGACATGCAGGGTGGAAGGATGGGGTGCGTCGAGGATGTGTTTGGGCATGTAATGCCTCTTGCCATGGGAATGTATTTAGCAAAAATGAACAGCATCCCAGCTCCATCCATACCGGCCAGCATGAGATCATCAAAAAACGAGTTACCACAAATACTTGCAGAGCAGGAGATGGCTTCAAAGGAGGCATGTTGTACCCAGCAGTCAGTCTGTGATGGGCCCATGGTGATATCCACAAGGCTCTCTTTGGCCTTCAGACCTCCCCAGAGGCTTCAGCCACTGGGCCATGTCTTCCTAACACAATCTCCTTTCCAGCCCCAAACCTCCCTCCCTGTGCCACAGGTGTCTCTGACATCCCCACACACGAGGATGGGGTCCCTGACAGCATCGCCTTCCTCCTCCCCCACTTCTGACATTATCTGCAGGCAGAAGAAATTAGAAAGGTAAAAACCAAGGCTGTTGAGGAGTTGAAGTCAGCAAATAACGACAGGTTTCTTCTCCCCTTTGCCAGCCATGCAGCAAAGGGGCAGTTCACTGTGCTGATTTCTCCCCCAGCCTCCCCTGCCTATGGGCTGCACAGGTTTGCTGTAGCACCCCGCATCAAACGCCATGGAGAGCTGCAGCCGGCTCCTTCCCAGGCAGGCAGCACTGCCCGGCTGTCCCTCCAGCTCTGCGCAGGCAATCGCTGCAGCAAAACTCAACTGCAGGGAAGTGACAACAGGAGAAGGCAGGTGGCTCAATGTCCTGCTCTCCCTGTCCCCCAGTCTTCGTTAGATCTCGGTCCCCAAGTTATTTGGCAAATAATGGTGAAATCTGGAAACAACTGAGGGAGGAGAAGGACTTGGAAAGTAAAACAGTACAACAGGAGAACGATGTAAAACAACTTGTCTCAGCATTGTAATGAAGTTCAAGATGAGGAAACCTAACCAGTAGGGAAAGAGGATTTTATCATGAAAAATGTAGCTGAAATGCAAGACCTTTGGAAAGCAATGGGGAGTTGTTATTACTAACATGGAATAAGACTCATGATCTGACAAGCGTAGCCAGGCCAGGAGGCAACTGCAGGAAGCAGTCACAAAGAAGATGCTGGAGAAAGCTGATGGGATCCTGCCAGGGACAGCTTATAAAAGAGCTTTTCAGTTCAGCCTATATATGGGTATGTGTGTGTGTATTTGTAGGTGTTTGCATATGTGTGTGCAGGTGCGTGCATGCAAAAGGCATGAGCTCAGAAGCCCTTGCTGAGCCCCTGCTGCCTGTTTGCATATGTACAAATGTGTGTATATATACACACAAAAGTACACAGACAAGGATTTTGAATGCCATGTCCCCAGCACTTCCTCGTGTGTCCCCTGTCTCTTCTCTCTTCCCCTCTGCCTGGCTTGGGGAGGGAGGAGGCTCCCGCTCTGCTCCAGCTCCCTCTGACCCACTTGGCCTGTGGATGCCCCCTTCTCCCCTCACAGAGCAAAAAAATGGGAGCACATAGTAAAGGCAGAGGGGAATTTTAAAAATAGCGTCCTGCTCCTCCATTTTCTTTGCACAGCATTGCAACATCGGTTTGAGAAAGGGCTTGCCATACCTCCGAAACGTCAGCTTAGGTCACGTAACAACTCTAATAGCATTGCCTGGTGCCCCAGGCTTATTCCATGCACAGCTCTTTCCCTTGCTCACATATCCATTTTTCCTAATCCAACTTTAAAAAGCTTTTTTTTCTTTTCTTAAGCCTGTAATCAACATACACACAAGCATCAGTGCATGAAGGCAAAAAGAGCATTTGCAACGGGAAGGAACAGAAGAAAGACCATGTCTCCACGTGATAAAATTTTATTACAAAATACGAGATAGATTAATAATTGTAGGGGAGTTTCAGGAGGGAGAGGGGTTATGTAACAAACAAAAGCATCACCAGAAAAATAAACCTTCCACCCAAGTTTTCCAGGTCCCAATTTTTTTTTCACATTGTGTTCATCTTGGACAGTAAACAATCACTTTCAATCCACACAGATCTGTGAAGCAATACAGTGCTCTTTTCCTATTTACAGTGATTTTATTTTTTTCCCCCGCTATGATACAGGCGCAGCAGAGATGAGCCACCTGCCTCCTGGCTGGACTGGCATTTGTTCTGCACCAAGCACAGGCTTGAAAAGCCTTCCAGGCTTGGAAACCAATGTCCCTATCACCTACGTGTGATGGATGGACCTTCATTCAGCTGGGGTTCACACACTCCCAGCCACCTCACTTGGCTCCAAGCCATCCCTCCCACAGCAAAGAGGGGCTTTGCTCCATCAGCATCACTCCCCACCTCCCCCAGCTTTCTCCCAAGGAATAGCTGCTCTCAGCCACCAACAAGTGAAATGCAAGGCTAGAGGCTGCCCACTGCTGTACACACAAAAATAGAGAAAGAAAAGCTGAGGCTTGCTTGCTGTGGTTTTCCTTCCAACTTTTTTTTTTTAAACTGTTCCCTTTGCACTAGTAAAACATTTGCATGTCAGCATTTTGCAGGCAGACCAGTGGTACTGCTTGGGAAGCAGCACTAGGTTGGGGTGGGTTTTTTGTTAAGACACTTCTTCCTTTGCCCCCAATTTAAAAAAAATTAAAAATAAAAAATACATATATACACACACACATAGTCCATGTGAGAATAAGCAGATGCATTTTTCCTGTAGTGAAAAAAATCCAAGATCATCAGGAAAATTATTCAAAATTCCCCTAAGATTTAAAGCTGCCTGTTGGTTGTTTTGGTTTTGTACTGTTTTTCAGCAAACAGGTTTTGGGCCCCATCAGCACAGCAAGGGAGGAGATAGAAATGGGTGGTGGAGTGGAGGTTTTCTTCTCCAAAAGTAAGAGGGTTGGCAATGAGACCCCCCCCGAGAGGGCCATGGGTGTGAGGTCTAGCCCCATGCCCAGCCTGATGTCATGGTGGCTGGGTCAGTCCTGTGCCCTGCACTTTGGCTGACATGTTTAGCAGGTTCAACCACAACAGACGCACTGAAAAAAAGGTCTTCCCCCATGGAGGTTGCAGTTACAGTCATGGGGGCTGCTGGCTCCCGGTGGGGGGAGACATGGGAACTGCTGTGCCAGGGCTCACCTGCCAAGGAACTGAACAGGTGCCAGCAGAGCAGGGTGGAGCCCAGCAGGTCCCAGCACAGCTGCAGTGGGTCCCCACCAGCCCCACCGAACCAGCTTGAGCTTCCTGGAGACACCAGCAGGGACTGGCTGAGGCATCTCCACTACTCTGAAATTCCTTTAGCGTGAGCTCAACCCTCACGCACCGGCAGACACGCATGTTCCTACACCCTGCACCACCCCCATTCTCTGAGGGGTTTTTCCATAATCAGCCCTTCCCTGAGGCTCTCCAGACCCATCATCTCCAAGCAGGAGCAAGAGGTAAAACTGTTCCCTGCATGAAGGCTTCAGGCCATGCACCACTCCCACCCCCAATTTTTGGGGGGCACATGGCACTGCAATGCCCTACTTGCTCATATGGCTCAACCTCCAAGGTGAGGTGGGAAATAGAAAGAGCTCAGGTCACAGTGGTGGCATTGGCAAGGTCCTGCTCCGTGCCCTGAAGAGGAGCCAGACCCCACAGCCAGAAAGGTAGATGGCAAATGAGCCTATTTGCTCCAGCACCCGCTGATCCCCAGTGAGCTATGTTGACAAGCAATGAAAGAGTTGGAAAAAGGATGTGGAGGACATACACGTGGTCAGCGAAAACTGATTTATGAGCCAGACTCTCAATTGCTCACTTGAATACGGTGTCAGGAGGGTGCCATCATCAAACCCTCCAGCCAGACAAAGTGCTGAGGTCTGGAAAGCCCTTCCCACACACCATCAGAGAAAGTCACCCAAGCTGGCTCCCAGCAACAAGGTGTCCTGACTTCACCCCTCCCTTCCCACCCTCCCAGTGGTATGGAGAAAGGAGGAGGCTTATTGCCAAAGAGCCAAACGAAGGGCTCACTGGAGTGCTGCACCACCCGCCTCGGGCACATCATCCATCCCACAGCCTACACCACACTCTGCACCCCCCCAGATCCTTCCTGCCCTCTCCTGTCATGCCAGACCAGCCACGTGTACTGCAGGTGTGATTGGTTTTATTTATCCAAGGCAAAGGACAACCAGGAACCCAGCTGTGGTTTTCGGCTAATGTGCTGTTGGGCAATAGCAGAGAGGGGTGGCCTTCAAATTTCCACCACCTGAAGATGCCGTGGTTCAGCATGGCCTTTCAGTTCACACTGCAGACGCGCATCACTCTGCACATTACTTAAATTTGTTCAAGGAAGAACAAAAGAGGAGGATGGCATGGGAGAAATCAATATTCTGTTGAATGCACCAGACCCATTATTTGTTCCTGATTTATTTATTACCTGCACGGCTGCTGTTTAAACTGGCATGGCCTAGTTCTTGTTCTGCCTAAGTTTAACCCCCGGTAGACTTTGAATAATGGCTGATGTGCCCCACACGTCACAGCACCCCACAGAAGAAGAGGGAAGGTGCCTTACGGAGCCCGAGGCGGTGAACCTGTGAGGTAGGTAACATGATTACAATCTGAACAGCAGGATTTATTGGAATTTGTTTCAAAGATGCTTTCTTCTTTTCTTCTTTTCTGTCTGAATGTGATGAAATGGCAACAGCAAAAGACCAGTGTGATTGGCGATGACTGATTCCCTGTGTGCATGTTCAAGGCACGAGCAGAGCCTGCTCAGTACTTTTTGGAGAAAGGCACAGTATATTGTGGGAGACCAGAGCTTTATCGGCGGCTTTTTTGGCAGTCCCTTGGGTGGCTTCAGGACCCCTGCTGATCCTCCCAGAGAGCCTGAAGTAAAAATTCATCTTGGAAGCAGAAATGCTAAGGACACAACCAAAAAACCTGGCCAAGCAAGGCAGATATTCACAGCCCCATGTGAGCTGGCTGCCAGGAAAACACAGGTGGGCTCAATGGGACACAGATGATGGCTCTTGTCATCTGCTTTTGTGCTGTCCCTTGCTTGAAGGCACGTCAGGTGAGTATGTCATAGGCCCTTTCTTCTATGCCCCCATAGAGACTGGGATTGTCAGCCCAAACAGCCCTGGGCATGTGTTCTTACACATCAGAGGTGCCACATCCACAGCTACACCATGGGGCAGTCCAAGAAGATTGCACTGGCGGTTTGAAGTGAGACCTCTCACACACAGCCAGGCTACTAATCCATCACAACCCTCCTCGCGCTCACCAAAGGCACCACCCTGAAAGGGGTAAAAAAATACCAAAGAGCTTGAGACACGAAGGACAGCTGCTCCTGAGTGTCAAATAAATAGCAGGTTTGCTGAAGAAAGCCCTTTGGAATCCAAGGTCCATTGCCCCAGTGCCACCGGGAGCCTCATCATGAGATCAGTCTATAATTATAACTCTTTTTAAATGAGATTTCTTCTAAAACCAGAAACAGTTGGGGACAGGACTTGCAGAGGGGGTTTTCCCACCACCCCTGCCCTGCCAGTTGATCACAGTATGGGTTTGTTCCTACGTACAAGAAGAGGAGAGGCCCTTCGGAAAAGAAGAATTTCAGCTGCTCTTGGAGAAGTGGTGACTGTAGGCGGCTCCTAGTTCTGGTGCCGCTTCATGTGGAGAGCCAGATGGTCGGAGCGGGAGAAGCACCGCCCGCAGGCTAGGCACTTGAAGGGCTTGGCACCCGTGTGCTTCCGGTAGTGCCGGGTCAGCTCGTCGGAGCGGGCAAAGCGCCAGTCGCAGCCTTCCCATGTGCATTTATAGGGCTTCTCACCTGCGGGGAAGAGCCACAGGTCACAGGCACAGGCACGCCACATGGGAGCCTACGCGGACACGCGTCTGCCCAGCCTCCCAAACACCCACCTTGTCTTCTCAGAGGTGCCCGTCCTCTTTGGGAGGCCCTGGGGGGCACCCAGGGCTGCCCTGCTGCAGAACGGGGTTTGTGGCCATGCTGCTGCTTTACACTACCAGGGCTCACTTGCTGTCCATAGCCACCAAGGCACCACAGATTGTTGAGCTGCAGTAGCCAAGAGTCTTGATCATGTGCCCCCCGACACCTTTGCTTTCTTAGGCTCAGTTTCTAATGCTGTTCAAGTTCTGGTTGGATTTTGGAGTTTCTGGCTCAAAAAATTTCTGACTTTTTTAAACTAAAAAGCAAAAAATTTCTATGAAAGTTGTTGCTGCTCATATAGTTGTGAAGGGCAGCAGGAGGAAGAAGGGGGTTATGCCATATAAATTTTCTTCGAAGCCTCACATCTTTGAAACCACCATCTAACACTCTTTGCCTCAAAGTTCAGCCCTGCAGCAGCTCTTTGTACACAAAACATGTTTTCTTCAGAGCATTTGGGTGATGTAATGCCTCAGGTCTCTCCCTCCTCCCGCCCATACACACCTATTCCCAAACTGAAATCAATTAAATTGTGCAACTTCTCAGCCAGCTGGGAACTGGGCTGGAAAAGCCCGTGCCTGCTTCCAACTCCCTGCGTGCCCAGGTTGTAGAGCTGAACCCTGGCTGCAGCTCTCTCCACGCATGGGTGTGGTGCTCTCAAATATTAGCCCTCACTCTTAACAGCCTGAACAAGCAGGCAGAGTTCAGGGAATGTGCTGACTTTCCCGACCTCAAATATTTACCGTTTCATCGGCCAAATGCTGAGCGCACCATCGGGGCATGAATGCACGTACACATGCAGCATGCATGCACAGGCATGTGTGTCGTGCTCTGACATGTTTCCCAGTGAAAGGCCGTTCCTCCCCACAGCCTGTTTACTAGGCAGGCGGTGCATTTGGCCAAGAAACAGAACACGTTCAGCCACAGCAAGATCTACAGTGTCTCTGCACATGCCAGACAAAATATGAAAGACAGGACACCAAGACCACATCCTTCTCCTCAAAAAGCCCCTGGGATCTGCACCATGGGGAGGAGAGGGGTACATTTTTTATGGCTCAGGTAAATACAGAACTTCAAGTTAATTTACAAGCAGCACGCTGGATGTTTTATGGCACACTAGGGATCTTGGGGTTTGCGTTAGCATGCTAAGACAAAGGCGGGATTTGCACTGTGCAGCTACAGACATTGTCCCAGCCAGGTGACCTGGCTGGGTCAACCCTACCAAGGCCCTTTAGTTTCAAACAATAACAGGTTGATCTCCAGGATAGAAACAAAATGCTTTCCATTGTCCCATGAGCTGGCTCCATCTCCCAGGACAGCACGGCAGGGCAAGCTCAAACAAAGGACCCAAACTGGCATTCCCAGCCCCCGGGAGGCGGGTGATCAGCCACTGGGTTATATATTTAATCTCACAATGGCACCCAGGAAATGAATGGTGTCTCCAGGAGATGAATACAGCCCAGCCCATAGCAACGGACAAACCACAAGAAAAGATCTTAGAGATCATGTACTTCTCAGCCCAGCTGCCATCAGGCGAGGAATTGAGAGAAAAAGCTTGATTAACCCTTCTCTGTTTTGAATTCCCTTCTTTTTACCCACCCCACAACACTACTGGTTTTCTTGACCACTCAGGTCACATCCTCCTTCATCCCTCTGCCCTTCCTTCTTACAGCAAGTGAGGTGGAAGGAGGCAAACAGACTTGGATTTCCAGCCCAATTACTGGGAAACCTGGAAAAATTACTGCATTTTATTAGGTTGAAAAACTGCCCAAGTTTGCCTGAATTCATCTTTACACTGTGACTTGTAAGGACGGTGCCTGCCTCAGATGGGTCACATCTCTGGGCAGAAAGCGAAGACCTGTGCTTCAGACAGAAACGGAAAAAAAATACTTCAATTTTAAAGCAATAGCCCTACCATAGCCCTGAATACAGATTGCTGTTGTGACAAATGGTTATCATCATCCAGCTTGCAGAGCTGGGACAATGTCCTTCCTGTTCCTTTCTTCCACCCCTTCCATGTTGTTCTTCAGCCTGCTCCTACACAGGCCCAGCCAAAAAAATATTGTACCTCTTGCACAAAGAAAAATTCTTTGCTGGCTTGTTTGAAGGACTGATAAGACGAAAACGGAACAGAGCCAAGTGCAAGAACTGATTCCCAGCCTCAGGATGGGTTTTGTTCGTTTTTAATAAAAAAGAAAAGTGAACTCTGGGCCAGCTTAATTGCTTTCAGTAAAGATCAGCCCTTCTATAAAAGAGATTTATGAGGGCACTGATGGTTCCTGGACTACCTGAGGATCTGATAAAGTTTCAGGTATAATAAATGCCTTAGTGAGACCTGTGCTTGAATGCACAAATGCCACTGAGCTAGATTTACCCCAGGGAAGTTGGTTGTGGTGGGAGCTCCTCTGTGCTAGTGACCCTGTTTACACCAGCAAGAGCAGCCCATGGGCACTTTTGCCTTCAACAGTGAGGGCACAGCCCTTCTGTACCTGTATTCAGAGCCCTTCTGTACCTGTATTCGGCAGCTCCAGTGACACACCACTGGCAGCTGCTAAGCGGACAAGCACTGGGCGTGAGTGATCTGTGTGGCTGGTACACAAGGAATCCTTCCTTGGGAATCTCAGGGACACTTGACACAAAAGACAGCCCTTGCCTCCTCAGAGGTGACAGATGTTCACCACATGCCTTTACACAATCTTTCTGTAGGCTGAGCAGGATCAGACCTGGCTAAGATTTGCAAGATCTCAAAGGAAGAGCTCATAGTAGTAGAGGTTTTGGGGGAAGCTCCTTCTCCCAATCCATCAGCTCAAGAGTCTCCAAGAGCTCTCCTAACTTCCACCCCTCCAAAAGGCAAGCAAGTGCACACTTCAGTGCACAGTTGCTATAAAACAGTGCAACCACTAGACTTTTTTTAACATTAACATCAATAGATTTAACTGTGCTCCTTACCCCAATAACCACCCTAGATTAAGGTAATCATCTCAACTACATTATCACTGCTATTAACAGACAGAGTGTAAGAAGGGTGGGCTGGAAGAGTTTCCTGAAGATGTGGTGATCTTACCTGTGTGAGTCCTCTGATGTGCCTTCAGGTGGGAGCTCTTGGTATAAACTTTTGAGCAACCTGCAAGAACAGAAAAGACACAACTTCCCTATGAGAAAGGGGCCCTTGCTCAAACAAATCCAGAACATTTGTATTTGAGGTTAGGGACAGAGCAAGCCTGAAAAGCACTCTGAGTAACAGTATGCAAATAAGCCCAACTATACCTGTTTTGTTTCAGCAGTAACTAAGAAGTGTTTGTTCTCCAAGATAGACCTTTACAACACTCCATCTTTTGCCACACAGTCCTGACACCCATGGGCACTGTGCTAGCAATTGGGGGCAGGGGGAAGAGCCAGGCACAGACTTTCAAATCCCCCCTTCCTCAACCAGGTCTTTAAGGCAGGATGAAAACATTAAATTTACCCCTCTTAGCTGCTGGCTTTGTGCTGCCGTTTGTCTTTCTGGATTCCAGATGTAACCAATATCGCTACTGCAAGGCTGGAGGGAAGACACATTTTGTAATAGTTCCAGCCCCAGCAGATGTGGTAAAAATGCTCCAGGAAGCAGGAAACACCAGGTACACTCTGGAGCCACTGCCTGGCTTTCAGGATTCAGAATAAAGCCAATGGGAAGTTTTTTGCAGAACATCAGCAACAGCAGGTTTAATCAAAGAAAGGCTCTTAACAGAAATACCATGACTTTGGCAAAAATTCCAACAATGGGCCTCTCAAATCATTGCTAGTTCCTCATTTCAGTTAGATAAAGCTTAGAAAAGCTTCTCATGCTGCCTTTATGGCCCTGCTTCATTGTGTTTTGACAAGTATATTAAAATACAAATTTGAATTTTTATGACCTGCATAAGCAACATAGTCATATCTTTTGTTCCAGTGTTTCCACACAGCCTAAAGAAACCTCTTGCAGATCTGCTCTCCATCCTGTCCTGCTCAGGATGTGCAGGAACAGCTAGCTGCCTTTCCCCTCCCCATGGTAAGTGCTTGGTGACCCAGCTCAATTTTGCTTCTGATACTCTGAAGCCTCGGAGGTCCCTCACACTTGGAAGGGACATGAGTATGCGTGAGACCAAGGACTGCCTCCCTGCTGAGCATGGAAATAAAGCCAGCCAAGCACCCAGAGCAGTTTCCAAACCCAGAGGGAGAAGCACAGAGAAGCCAGAGCAGGGCATGGCCAAGCTTCATTTCCCAATGAGCACAGGGAGGAAAAAGTGCTGGGGCCACCACCTGGAAACTTGAATTGGGGCTTTGCAAACAGGTCTCCCCTGTTCATCCAGTTACGCGTGTGAATTCAGCATGCCTCCTGTCGCTTCCTCACGCAGACCACGTCAGTGAGACCTCCTGCCCCTGCCGTCAATCCTGACTGGTTTCACCTCTAACTGAACCTCAGTGTGAAGGATTAGAAGAAGCCCTCCTCTGTCTCTGCACGTACACACTATCGAGACACCCAGTGTTTATACAGTGCTGGTTGGGGTTTTTTTGCACCACAGACGTGTTCCTTCCTATGCAGGCCAAAATCCTGCTGAAAACAGGGAGCTTTGCCTTCGTAATGCATCCTGCAGGATGAGACTCTTGCTCAGACCAGTTCTGAGATGAGTGGAGGTGTCTGTCTCAGAGCAGTGGACCACTTACACCCTTAATCTGTCTCCCAATGTGACCAGCAGAAGGTAAAAAATTCAGCACAACATGTTAACCACAAGAACATGGGTGCAGCTTCTGGATCAGAAAGTCCCTTATCTGCAGGCTGCCAGAGGGTAAGAAGGTCTAAGCACAGAAAGATCTCTCTAAACATGTCCTATTCTTATACACTTCCTCTGGTCACTGCTGGAGACAGGATCTGGGCTAGACAGACCTCTGGGCTGACCTACTACAGCCACTCTTGTGCCACGGAAAGAGAACATAAATCTTGCAGGAGGCAGTTAGGAAATTACTTTCCTCAGTTCACACACCCCCATGGGAAAACTGTTTGCTAATCCCCAACAATTCGATGGCTGGGGCTCGGCCCAGGAAGTGGGAGGTGTGCACAAGGACTGGTGATTTTCAAGTCCTGACACCGGTTTCATTGGGCTTTCTCACTAGTGACACAAGTGCTTCTCTACTGTGCAGCATGAATGAGATTTTGCAGCTGTGGGTCCCACAAGCTCTCTGTGCACAGTGGAGGAAACCCTTCAAGATCTCCTCCTGTCAAGATGGACAAGATCATGGGAATGAGGTGACACGGGGAACAGCTGCAGCCCTGGGCTGATCATTACCCTGAAATACCCTTTCCACACCGTCTTGATGCAGTACATGAAGCCACTGAAGGGAGCAACACAGAGATATTCAGCTCATTGCATCTTTGGAAAAAGAGAACCGGGGCTACAGAAAAAAGACTGTAAAGGCTTCTTATGGACGTTATTTGATGGTTTGCCACACATTATGGGAGAGTGGGAAAGGTCAGTGAGAAAGACAGCGTGGTTTCACCTATGGAGAGCATGTGGCTGCTCAGGGTTAGGCAAGACCAAAGCAAAACAGGCAGCTAAGGCAGCAGATTTCCAGAAGCATCCCTGTGCTTGGCAGGAGCTCTCTGCCTCTCAGAGCCAGGCTTGCTTTTGCCAGAGTGCGAAGGGGAAAGAAGGGGAGAAAAAGGCATCAGCTAGCACAGGCAGAATCAACCTCTTCTACTCCCTTGGTGGTGGTAGGAACCCCACTTCCCTGGGGCTCACTACCCAGCTCCATAGCTCCCTTCATTATGCAGATAAAGTTATTTCAGATTAAACTCTTGCAGAGGCCCAAGGCAGCCCCCAGCCTCAGTGTGTCATGAAGAAACACACACACACCCCCAGCAAGGCCAAACCAGTACATCAACCGTGAGCATACCTGGGTAATCGCAGTGATGGATTCTCCTTTTCTCCAGCTCAGGGTTGTTGCGTCTGTTGTATTTGGGGGGCTGCATGACAATGTGCCCTTGGGAGAGGGTCCCAAGGCCATTGGGGACTGGGGGGACCTGGGATGACTGGACCATCTTCAGTCCAAAAGTGGCTTCATAGGATGGTGGGGGAGAGATGGTATTGATGAGCTCTGGTTGATTTTCTGGGCTGCCAGGCTGTGAGTTGGGGGGTGAAGGGGGCAGGTTCACCCCTGGAGCATGGTAGAACTGCCCTGAGATGCTGAAGTTTCCCTGTCCCTGGGAGACATGTGGGTACTGCTTAACTGGCCCTCCTGGCTGGACAGGTCTGTGGAGCACACTGGACATGGTGTTACCTGTGGACATGGTAACACCACTGAGACTGTTGATGGCTGTGGTGCTGTTGGAGGAGGATGTCAGAGTGGTAATGTCAGCACTTCCATTGCCCAGAGGCATCTGGTAAAGCTGGGATTGCTGTGGATTGGTGGATAAGGGGATCTCAGAGGGCATCTCCTGCTTGATGAAGATGTTGTTCACTGCCACTGACTGGGGCATGCTGAAGACACTGGTGAAGTCAGGCAGGGTCTGTGTGGAGCCGGAGGCAGAAGAGCAGGGCTGGGAGAAGCTGGTGCCAGGCTCTGTTTTGATCTGTGGGAATGGTGTCATGGGTTTGGGTGGCCGGTAAAGTCCAGTGCGCAGGTGTGTGGTGTCTGGCAGAATCACATTGATGTTCACGCTGTACGGTGTAGAGGTGGGCTTTTCTGTGGAGAAGAACTCATCCACAACTGAGGCACTCTCCCGGCGGTACTTCTTGTCTGGTATCATTGGGATGGGTGGCACCTCATTTGAAAGGTACTTATCCATTTCGGACCGCGCCTATGGCAAAAAATAGACAAGTGAAGAGTGACCTTGACTCACTGGAGGTGGGAGTCCAAGGTTCAACAAGTACTTAAGCTAGCAGGAAATGGAGAGAACAGCAAGAACAGCCCAGGAGTCATGACAGGCTGTGGTGATTTAGCTTCAGTCTCTGACTCAGCCAGACTCTCCAGGAGTGAATCACTGTCCTCTGTCCCACTTCCCTCCTACCTATCTGCACTGATAACAAAGGGTAAGCTAGGCAGAGGATGCAGTTATGAGAGGAATATAGCCTGATAATGAAGAGCCAAGCTTCAGGTACAAAGCTTTGGTCACACAAACAAGAAAATTTAACACTAGAAATGGGATAAAATCAGAAACTCTGCTCCACTCAGCCTCATGCCTTTGGGCATGTTGGATTTGCAGCCCACCTTAGACATGCTGACTCTGGTCTCTAAACTCAATGGCCTAAGATGCATTGCATTTTATTCTAGGAATAACTAACTGAGAATATTCTAGGACAATATCTTCAATTAATTGAGAATAATTTGGGTTATAGCCCTAGAAATCTAAGTGATGTTGCCACCAATTCAGTGGACTGTGAGCCTAAACTGGAAACTGCCAGGCATACTATTAATGTCTTGTCTTGGTAAAGTGACTCAGCCCTCACCTAACCTTTGGTTTAGCTCTAGTTTTGTTGAGCTGTTCTTACAAGTCTGGGTTCTCCAACCTAACAGGACCTCTAGCTCAGACAATCATGACTTGCCAGGTTTCTTCCTCTCCTGGTTCATGTCTGATGCAGCATCACACTGGATCCAGGCCCAATAATTCAGCAACCTGATGGAGCAATCCACTAGGAAATTCATCCCCTGGCATTTGATGACTCAAGTTCTGCTCTTTGTGGTTAAAGATACCAGCCCTAATGCTCTTCTATAAAGCTACAGTCTTTAATTATGTGGTTATCCATGTGTCAAGCTCATTGCAAAGCCCTCGTAGACTCATTCATATGTAGAGGAGCTGGCAAAACCACCAAGTTTCCCTGGCAGTGCCTACAGCGCACTTCAGAAGAGCAAGCTGATCTCAGCCCACACCCTGCACGCTTGAGCCGAGAGTTTTACAGCTCTGAACTATGTCACTGGAGTGCAATGGGCCAAAGTCATCCCTGCTACAACTTCATTGCTCTTAACAAAGCTGGACGGGACCCAAGAGATTTCCTCGCCCTTTCCAGTGAAACATATCACTTTGTGCTTCCAGCTAACTCAAAGAGCCTTTGCACCTCTGCAAGCCATACTGGCAACACATGGGTAAGCTGGCTTCCACCCAAATACAGGTACGTGCCACAGATACACTCTCTTCTACACAGGTAGAAGCTCAGAGCAACTGGACTTGGAAGAGCTACACTGCACTGGGACTGCATTTTTTAGGATGTGCTCAAGGCACTAGCGTGTGTACACACTGTGATGTAAATGTCTGTCTTCACCGAATGCGCAGGCCCTGAAAAGTCCCTGCTCTCATTAAAGGAAGTTACATGTTGGCACTACAAGCTCACTTTATGTCATGTCCTCACCTAACCACCTCTGCTCAAGGCTATGCTGCCTCCAGCAACACCCCACCACTCCATGCTCCAGTGAGGAAACCCTTGCTTAGGCATACCTTAAAGCTAAGGCATCAGTGGGGAGCAAGGAGAGAACCAGAGACCCCCAACTCAATCCGAAACCCTGATTTCCTCTCTGCTCCCCCCTGCAGTGTCCAGCTTGGCTCCTGCCCAAGGAAGAATGATGCCAATGCTTTGGTGCTGAACCCTGCCTGCTCTTGCCCTGTGCACCCACACTGGCATATCGTAGTTACCCTTGGGAGTCAGCTTGCTCTAGGCACTACCGGAGGCTATGAATGCCGGACATACCTGAGCAATGAAATGACCCACTTGCCAGAAGTGGGGGCAGGGGGAAGGCGTTGGATGCCTTTTACTTCTATACTTTCCCTTATCTCTGGCATTTAATGTTCTCACCTTCAGTTCCCAATGGAAGGTCTCCCCTTCCACAACGCCAGTAGGTCCTTATATGGCAGGTGACTAGGCAGGTATATTAAATGTAGAAAGGTATGGAGGGCCCTAATTTCAGATCTAAAACCTGCATTCTCAGGCAGACTCCCCTTGTCTGCTGCCTGGCCTGCTGTTTGGTGCCTCCCAGCCTCCTTTTCTCTTATAACCGCCTCTATCTGCAAAAAAGTCTTCTTCCTGTCCATTAAAGCCTGATAAACCCACTTCTCATCCTGAGCATTCCCAGGGTCCTGGGGAAAGGGGGTGTTAAAAGAAATGGGCTTTCACTGGACAGGAGAGGATACCAGCCCTGTCCTCAGCTGCAGCCCCAGTGGTGTGTGCCCCACTCCACTGGAATCCAGACTGCTACATTGCTGCTGATTGTGACATAGGTCCAACGTGACCCTGAGGGCCCCAGCATCCTCCAAAGAGGGAGAAAGGGGCTCACTCTTTGTTTGTAGCCCAGAAATGCCTAGCCACCCTAGTCTGATCCAGCACTGCTCGTGCTGGGTGCTGACACCTAATACCACACCATTTCCATAGGCACCTGCCAACTAATGTTCTATCCAAAACCTCAGCCTACAGTCAGCACAACTGGGATGACTAAGTGCTGATGTGTCTGAGTGGGATCCAACTCAAGTGTCCTGAATGCAGGTGTCTCTATCTGGCTGTCACTCACAGCTCCTTTCACAGTCTGTGGGGACACACAAGCCACGAAGGACATAGCTACACAGGCACCCAGGGGGTTTACACAGATGGAGACACCACGAGTGGGAGGAACACACCATGGATGGTGACCGGGGGCAGAAGAAGGGAGCGGAGGCGCTGCCATGTCCTCGGCAGTGGATGTGGGTGGCCTGCACTGGGGCTGGGTGTGTAGGGGGAAGTCCCAGCTCTATCTTTTAGGGGCGTTAGCAGTACCTGTCACCAATGGGGGCAGAAGCATGCAGAGGGAGGAATAAGGAAAGCGGTTCACCTCGAGAATGAGCGGCGGCATCCGCTGTTCCATCCTCATAGGGTGCAGCTGTGGGGCAGACAGGGCTGGGTTAGTGAGGCGACCTCTCCCGGAGCCCAGACACGACCTCGCAGGCCTCCCCACCCACCCCGGGCCATGGAGAGCCTCACCCCTTTCCCCCCTAGCCCCTCACAGCCCCCACGGCCTCCAGCTGCTCGCCCTGTCATCGAGCAGGTCCCCACCGCCATCACCAGCACCTCCTCCTGCCCGACACCCCCGACATGGAAGCAGCCAGCGGTTGCCAGCCAGAGGTTGATGGGAGACAACACAAAGCCAGAGCCCCCTCTGCGCTGTGTCACGCCCTGCAGGCCCAGCAGTGAGGGGAAGGCCAGCAGCCATCTTTGCCCTGGGCATGTGCCCTGGCTGCCCCAGCCTGGCAGGTCCCTCAGCGCCCGCGCCGGGGCCATGGCACCTCCCGGCGGCTCCCAGACTCAGGCTTCACATGCAGAAACAGAGACGGGGGCTCGGAGGCCGCAGGAAGAGCAGGCAAGGGCTCGGTCTGCCCAGCCTGTGCAGGGATGACCTCCGTTTTCCTCTTGCTCAGAGGTGGGAGCAGAACCGGCTGTGCCTTGACATCACCTTCTGTCTGTTCACTAACAGGGATTTTTTTTTTTTTAATCTTTCTTTCCTGTTTAACATCACTTGTCCCGGAGGGGGGTGGGAGGAGGGACAGAGCAGCCTGCTGCGGGGATGAGCAGGGACTCAGTTCCCGGCCCACAGAGCCAGTCTCTGGTTTTATCTCTCAGCCCTCACCAAGGGGCAGAGCAGGATCTGCCACAGCATTTGGAGTTTGCCCAAGGAGGACGGCCACTTGGGGAATCTGGGCAGCTGCTCGTCCTGGCTGCAAGGTTTGGTGAACTCTGGGCTTCTCACTGGGAAAGAAACGATAGCTGAGAAATACAAAGATTTCCAGAGGAGGCTTTGAGGCATGGTGCAAAGACTGTCAGAGATTTCCAGCCCTGTCAAACCAGTAACTTCTCCCAGTTTCCATGGAGCTCCCATCTACCAATCTGCTCTACCTTAGGGTAGGCAGAAACATTCATGCTGTGTCCTGGGAACTGGCTGGAAATCACCAAAGCAGGCATCAAGGTGCTGAGCCTGCAACACTCACTCACTCAAGTCATCCATGAGGGGTTTTTTGCTGCAGACCCAGAACCCTCCACCTGGAATGGGCACCCACCATGAGGTGCTGTGACAGACAGGACACACCATACTCAGCTGCATGCCCAGGGCCTCAGACACAACTCCTCTCCTCTGCTCCTTTAACAATCTCCCCGTGCCATGGGCCATGGCATCTGCAAGGATATGAGAATCTTTCCCCAGGAAGAGCCTCAGCCATACCACATGGGCTCAGAAGATCGTGCTTCCTGGCAGAAGTGTGGCAGCACCACAAGCTAGATTCAGCCCCTCAGAGGTAAAGATCTCAACGTCACACTACTGCCAGGCTCCTACAGACAGAGGACTTGGGGGAATTCCACCCAGGAGCAGGTACCCCAGCAGCAGGGTCCTCAGGGATCTTCTCTGCAGTTTGGCTTCAACTAGCCCATTCCTGTTCTTAGCAATCTCCAAGGTTGAAAGACTTTGCCAGAACTTAAAATCTCCTTTATCATTCCCTGTATGCACTACAGCATGCTTGCAAATGTCCTGCATACCTCTTCTTCTGCCTCGATTCCCCCCAGCTTTCCACAGAGCATTGAGGGCTATTCTCAGATCTGTCACCCAGATCCTTTCTCCAAGGTCAGTGCTCAAAATAGGCCACAGTCCTCCATCACCAAGTAAAGGCGAAAGGTTACCTGCAAAACCCAGAACAGTATTTATCTGCCCTCTGTTGGTTCAGCACCGGACTGTGACCCCTTCTCATTCCGCATCCTTCTCATGAAGCTGCTGCTGCCTGCTTGCTTCCAGTGTGCCCATTTTCTTCTCCACAACTACAAGGTTTCACCCTAACCTCTACCACTTCTCCAGTTCAACAAGATTGTGGTAAAGCCTTTTCTCAGCCTCCCAGTTTGGGGTCATGCACGCATTGTCAGGCTGGTCAGTCAGATCAGCAAGGGCTAGAAACCAACCCAGGCTTTCTTCCCTCTCACAGAAAAACAGCAAAACCAACTCAATGGACTCCATTTTCCCATTTTGGGGGTGTTCAACTCAATTCGGGGAGTTGCATTTAAATGCAGGATATTCCTTGCAAGGCCACAATAGAACAGAGAGCTACATGACCTTGAGAGAACAAGTGCCAGACAGGCTGGGGATGCTGAGAGCTACCATCCCTGGACATCCACTGGTCTCCGTATGGTCTTCATGCCTGAAAGCATGAGGAGATGCTTAAACATTAAATATCCAGGTCAGAGCTACAAGGGTTTTGGGGTTGAAAGCTGCATCCCATCACCCCCATCAACTGGAAGAAACAGCTTCAGAAGCACCTGCATACTTCAGGCTCCCTCACAGGTAGTGCTTGAGCCTGCAAGTGGTGGTCCAGCTTCTAGATCCCTGATTTTGGGGTCAACCACACCAGGAGACCAACAAAACCCTCTGCTCTGCCAGCCATCTGCATTTAAGACCTGCCATGGTAAGCAGCACAAATGCAAAGGGAGCAATTGTGCTCAAAGCAGGCCCCACCAGGAGGAAGCTCCATAGACACTGGGTCTGTGCAGACTCCTCGGCCAGTCCCAAGTGAGACCTGGCAGCAGGCTGCAGCCCTGCCTGGGGCAGCTGAGGACACTTTGGTGGGCTCACATGAGACAGTAATGAACTGGAACAAACAGCCCATACCTTCCTCCCTGTCTGCCAGCCACAGGCAGGGAATTAACCATTTTCTTGCTTTTTTGAGAAGGACTGGATGTATCACATAGCCTGGGAGCTCAGTTCATCTCAATACTGCAAGAGAGATACACACCATGACTTGATGGACAAAGCCTCCAGGGCCTTCGAGCTGAAGAGCCCCTAGGTCTTCAGTGGGTTCAGTGGTTTAGTTTCCCCTATAGTCACTAGCAATGCCATGAGTGCAATCACCGGAGATGAGGATGAGAGACAAGGTCTGGAGGTGGGCATGCCCCGGACTCCACCGGCTGCATTGACAAGGGCTCCATCAGCCATCATAGGTCAGTGGCTCAGGCAAAAAGTGGGCAAAGGGGAAATACAGGCAAAGCAGACGTTAGCAAAACTTCTGTGAGTTTAGAGGTGTTCAAACTGGAATCTTTGGTCTAGTCAGGAAAGGAAAGCCAATAAGTATAGCCCTTGATACAATAAAAGCACTGAACTCCTGTGATATTTTCCCCTCAAAGTCATAGTATCTATTTCTGACCGCAGAGGAGGGTCTTTTGAACATGCCGGTGAAAAGAAAGCCAAAAAAAGCCAAAGACGAAAAGGGTTAAACCAAGCACTCTGTCCACTCCAGGCAAAGCCATTGGACACCAGTTTGTGTCACTGGACCAGCAGGACCGTGTTACACTCAGCACTGGCACATGCAAACCTGGGACCTGGAGACCAAAATTCCCTGGAGGGCAAGATAACCTCAACAGCCTCTGAAAGAGCTGTATGTTGTGAAGCACCCAGCATTGTGAAATCAGTAAAAGCCCAGCCCTTCAAGCCAGTTACTCGATGAAGAAGGCAGACAATGAAGCCCTGCTTCCCCCAGAGTGGATTCTCCTGTGGCTAATAGGTGCTGACATGAGTCTTCCCCCTCTACCATCTGCCAAATTTCACAAATCCTGGAGGAACCTCCTGCCTTGGAGACCTCTATCCCTCGTTCAGATATTGTCAAAAGCAGGGTGAGGCATTATCAGGACATCGATCAATACATGCAGCGTCCAAGACAAACATTTCTTGGGAGGACACAGAAAAAAACAGCGCTTGAGCCAACCATGCCATTTTGCCAGCGATTAACCACGAGCATCGTTAGAACAGCGCTAGGCACTGCAGGCTGTCAAAGCAGGAGGCGGGACATGTCTTTCCCATGATTAAACTCTTTCTAATCTGAAGTTGATAAATAACAAACTGCCATAGAAACATCAGATGTTGTCACCACACGGGCAGCAGCAGAGAACAAGGAGAGAAATCAATGTTTGCTAAACAGGCATTGAGCCTGTAAAATTGGCAGAGGGAGCGGCTGAGGGGGAAAGGCCTGGGGGGGTGGCAGTGGGGAGGAGTTTCTTCAGTACTTGGCAGCTTCGAGCCCTGTGCTAGTCCTGGCCTGGCCGCACACCCCCCATCCTGCTCTGCAACGCTGGGAGGCATCAAGCCCTCTTCCCCCCTTCCCAGCTCTTGCTCACAGCCAGCCCCTGCCGCCGCGCTGTGCTGGTCACTGATGCGAAGAGTTTTTGGGAGGGGGGTGCAAGCAAAATGCCAGCTTCACCCATGCAGGTCAGCCAGCAGCACAACCCTGTGATGTAGGGGTTCAAGGGATGGGGAAATGGCAGGGCACATGCTCCAGGTGCAAGGGGGGACCCCTCCTCGGGACAAGGGACCCTTCCTGAGCACAGGCATGTGGGGGACAACGGTTGTGCCAGTTGCCCAGGCCCTGGGATTATGCAGTACAGCCTTTTTCTCATACATGCACCTGCATGAAACTCCAGCCTCCAAGGGAATCAGCAAACAATGGGAAGGATAATCATCAATCAAAACCCATGGCAAGTACCTGGCAGTACCCCTTTAAAGGCACACATTATAAATAGACTGTATTTATATACAGATTTGGTTCAATATCAGCATTTATTGTCTCCTAGTTAAATATTGACCTGAGTAAATATTTGTTTCTCTGATCATTTGGTTTTGATATTGACCTCGATCGACATTATTTTCTGTTTGTTCCTCAAGTCTTCTGGAACTCTCTGCAAAACGGGATTAGAGGAAACCCCCAGGACTCTTCCTTTCAAGTACACACAGGGCCAAATGTTTAGCCACTGTTAATAACAAAGCACCGTTGCAGGCAACAGAGCCAGACTCTGTGCTTATGTAGGTGGGTGCTGGGCTGCAGAAAGCCCTGGATGGACTCCTCTGCTTGCTCTATTTCA